TTCGCTGTAGACAGGTACCACTCCCTGGCACTACTATAATACCTCTTTACCTCTTCCCACTGTCACTGGCCAGGCTTGGCCAGGAATGTATCCACAGCAGGGGCAGACTGACCATTTGAGCACTCGGGCACTGCCCGAGGGCCCGGGGTTAGTAGGGGGCCCCATGAAATGCCCCTGGTACCTTTTATGGGCTTTTTTGGGTGTGCTTTGAGTGTGGGCAAGGACACAGGGGCCCCATGATCCCTTATGGCCCGGGGCCCCATGAGTTGTCAGTCCGTCCCTGATCCACAGACACTATTCTTTTGACATTTCAGGATGGACAACATTGTGTCCAATAAGGACAATGCCATCTGCACAATGGTCTGGAGCCATTTACAGTCTTCTAGTTAAAGCGACCTTATCATGATAGAAACAAAGGGCCTGTAAGACTGACCTCATTTAACAGAAGGCAGCACAACCTCCCCAAACTGCAAAGCGTTAATGAATCATTAAAAAAATAAAACAGTATACATACATAAATGTGGTAAAAAAAATGGCCTCGGTACTTTTATTGGTTTTAATAAATAAATAACTTTATTAAACTTCAAATGAATAATATAATAATAATATATTAAAAACACATATTGCTCAGTCATAGGACTTAAGAGAAAATTAATCAAGAATGAATCCTAAATCACAAAGGATGACATAGCACATAAGATGCCTGTGATGAGGATGAGAGGTGAGCTCATCGATAGGATGCCTGACCAACTGCAAAGGAGCCTGAGACGGAGTCCCTTTTATATAGTCCTTGTAGAAGATTCCAGAAGAGGCATGTGGAGCCCCATTCTTCCCACCATAAATTGCGAACTGACTTTTAAAGGGCCTGTAACAAAAAAATATATTTTTTTCATGTATGAGGTGGCAGCCACTGTCCCATGTGTGTGGGCTCAAATCTGTGCTCCCTTAGCCATTCTAAAAATAATAGATGCAAGACTGTTTTGCTCTCTGTTTTTTTTTTTTTTTTTTTTAACTTGATGATCTAATATATTTATTGAAATTTATTAGCTCTAATTGACAATACCAAGTTTCACAAATATTGTTGGATAAGGAACATTAAGTTTTATATATTTTACCATAAAATCATATGCGTTGTTAATTTTGAATATTTATTCTGGATAATATTAATTATTTGGAAGCTTTTTTTACTTTCCCTTTAATTCTTCTTATTTTTTTCCTAATGATCTAATTTTAGATCTAATTCTTTAAATATGTAATTTTAAAAGCATAATTGCACAATATATAGTTTTTTTCTTTTTTTTATTTAACTGACATGTTAATTTTATTCAACTTTACACTGCATGTACGTTTATGTATTTCTATCCCTGAAGAAGGGGGGTCCTTGCAAATGTGAAATGTGTTAGCCCTCTTTTTCCATTGATAATGTAAGACAAAAAAACCTTCTGGGCTTTATGACCATGGGTGTGGTGCCCTTACTGCTTCTACCAATAAATATCTGACAAAGGAATGCTGGCTCTTTCCAATCCTACAATTAAATATAAAAACAGCAAACTTGTGGGTGGAGTACCATTTTAAAGCTGAACTCCATGTATGATCCTAATTGTAGGTATGCCTTTCTCATCCATACTGGATGAGGGTGCGTTTTCCTACGCACCATCTGGCCAATTGATGAATCTAAAATATATAACCTTTATTCAAATATATAAAAGTGTAATTAATGCCTATTGGAGTGGAGTGTACTGCACATAATATAACTGGATACCATTGCAATTATTTACCTTACATCCAAATGGTTAATAACACCAGACCAAATCAAATACCTTACCATTTTAGATGAAGTGACGGCATAAAAGAGGCACTGTAGTTTGATCATAAGCCTATCAGCTTGATATAATCTCTGTTAAGGATATGGAGTTACCCCATGGACAATTTAATTAGATATAGTATAATCTATTTTGCTACAGATATGTAATATGGGTACACTCATCCACGGGCTTAAAAGTCAGCCTCGCATGGATAAGCCCCATACGTCACCATATTCATCAGAAAAATACCTCACTGTCTTGAGGAATGCAAATGATGCACTGTAAAACTCAGTACAGACCTCTACATAAAAAGGGGGAGAGGAGTACATACCATGTGCATTCAAAAAGTGCTCCCAAAGAAAGACCCAAAGAAAAAAAGAAACTCTACATGTTTGGCTCCAGAAAACAGAGCTTCGTCAGGAGTATAAAGAATTAAAATAGGTCACATAGTGGCTGGAAGTTGTGCTCAGCTGCACATGGTGGCAAAATGGATGCATTTCTCATACCTGATGGACTGCATTGGAAGCTGACAATCGCTGTAGTAGCTGGTGCTACTACAGTGGTCGTTGTGATCCTGCAGATCCTGTGTGGCTCCCCCACTGCCTACTGACTACAGGGGGTTACTGAACATGCAGAAGGAACACAAGGCATTCTCTAATTGAGCAAGATGGAGAGGTGGGGAGGTGACATCACAATCTCTACTTTGTCCAAATAGGGAATGCTTGGTGTTCATTGAAAAAATACAAAGCGCTATGTGAATGGCATCAGAGCCGAGTTAGGTACCCTCTGTGGTCAATGTGAAGAGGGGAAATCAATTGGTACAGGACCTGGAAGATTGTGGTGATTACTATAGCAGCACCAACTCCTGGAGTGTTTGTTATCTTCTGCACAAGTCCACCAGATATGAAATAGGCAATTAGGATCATACCTGGACTTCAGCTTTAAATATTAAAAGAAAATTGTTTAATTCGATTCTTTTGCTGGACACCTGGACTGAATAGTATATATATAAATATATTATCCACCTCTGTAAAACAAGGACCAGAACTACCATGGGGCTGTTCAGACAACCACACAATATAATGAAAACCAAGGAGCTTCTTGTTAGACCCCTAACCTGGTGCAAAACACGTACATTTCCCTATGTTTTATCCCTATAAAGACCCTGCAAAACATACAAAAAAACCTGTTGATTTACCAGAAAAGCACTCAGCTCCTGTCCATAGATGATTTAATTATTGTTTGATTCCCACATCACAGCGTTATTGTGTTCTGCTGCTGGGGAGCCTTCCTGGCCTGCAGAACACAATGCTTACTGCTAACTATTGCCACTGACAGAAATCGCATGTTGAAATATTTGACAGGTTGGTGGTAGCCAAGTCAATCGATGGATCAACTTGGGTACAATCAGCCGCCCATACAATCAGCCTGCTGAACTGCCAAACTTCGATCAATGTATGGCTAGCTTAAGTTCTGTTGTGAGCCAACAACACACAGGGTTGTTGGCAAAAGGCAGCCCAGTTGTCTTTTGCTAAATTTTGCTAAATTACTCCATTCCTACCCCAATCTCCCCATCTTTACAACATTGAGATTAATTGTTCTTTAATTCCAAGATAAGATTTAGGAAGCCTAACTAGACACCTTGAGATGACAGGAAGTTTGCACCAGACAAAGATCAGCTCTGAATTTCTGACTTTTTTTGCACTTATCGAATGATTATAAGGGAACACTTTCAATTGTATATTTAACAGACCAAAAGGGGGCAAATATGACGTTCATTGTTAGGGTTTACATCATTTTAAGGCAGATACCCTTCTCATACATAGCCTGCCAGGAATAGTTTCTCCCCCTGCATCCCCAATAGAGTACCTCAATCACTATACACCTTCAATTGCAGCTCATTATCTACTTACAGAAAATAACTTTTGTTCTGTAGCTACTAAAGCAGAAATTCAGGCTGCTGCTGGTGGACTTCTCTAACAAACACTAATTACCCACAATACACCCTTCATGAGATGTACAACCAAGATAAATCTGTGCAGTCACTAACCATTGGATGACTCTCCCTGGAGCCTGGCCATTAAAGCAACAATTTTGGAAACAAAATACTGCACATTATTACCTGCCAGACAAAGGAACACAAATGGTCGTGTCAGGGAGTGGATTATCAATATCCACAATAGTGCCCGGGTGACTACGCCAAAGCAGGGAGGCAATTACAACAATGCAGGAATGAAGCACAATAAATTCTATTTACTGAGCCAATCCTAGCACCGTATATTCTCTATCTGCACATCTGGATTATACACAAGCCTGGGAAAAAAAATCTATACGGAAGCTATAAGAAAATCTTGACTATGGTGTAGATAAACTGATTGGGACTGACTCATTTATTTTTTAAATCAATTTTGGAGGATGTTATAGATATTCCTTATTTTAAAAATAAAGTGTAATCAAGTTCTTTCCGAGAAAAAATACATTACAAATAATATACCTATCATTGTGGATGGGGATCATCTATATAAGGGCTTTGAATGGATTCTTTTTTATCTACCGCACATATTGTTACTGCCATTATGTTTGTATTCAGCAGGTGGCAATGTGTAGTCCATTAAAAACAATATACATTTCCTGTACAAATGACTTTGTGGATTATACTAGGGCAGGATTCATAAATGTACTTTTATATTATACTGTTTAATCGTGTTAAATTGTATGTAAAGCCAAGATTTTTTTAAAGTTAAAAGGTTAGAACTCCTGTCAGCTTTTTTATTGCTGTCTGTGTCTGCACTGGGAAGTTTCACCCCGCCTTTAGTTTTGGTGACTATCGATGAGATGGGTTCAGATTTTAACTCGGTCCAAACTCAGTTTGCCTGAACCTGCAAGAAGCTGTTAACCCCTCTAGCCCAACAAAGTGCAGGCAACGGCACATGTACAAAGTGTTGGGGATGCTTGTGACATCATTGACCTAAAATGGCCATTTGGTCAAATTAGGTCAACTTTGTCACAATCATTCCCGCTATATGTGCAGCTGCAGGGTGGGGCATTTCAAGCTCAACAGCCCAGCAATACAACTAACTTCCAGGTTTGGACCAAACCCAGTTCAGGCTGAAACCAAGCTCATTCTTGCTGGTGACCACTGTTATCGGTACAGTACGTGAGGGCAAATCCACATTTTATAAATTGTCAAAGGAACAGGAGGTGAGAGGAAAACCTCCACAAGGAAACTTGTTTGCGTGACAAGAGGAGATATCTCCTTGCTTTGGGGAGATCTCCTCTTACTTCTTCTTGTGTCTCTGGGGTAAGAAGCAGGGGCGGACTGACAACTCATGGGGCTCCTGGGCAATAGGGGATTATGGGGCCCCTGTGTCCTTGCCCAAACTAAAAAAAAAACTATGAAAAAGGTACCAGGGGCATCTCATGGGGCCCCCTACTGACCCCGGGCCCTCGGGCAGTGCCAGAGTTTCCAAGGTCAGTTCGCCCCTGGTAAAATGTGAAGGAAAATCCCACCAATAGGATACAGATAACAAAAAAAGTCAAGGGTTTTAACCATACCTTTCTCTGCCACAAAAAAAAAAAAAAGTTTGGGCCTTATAGAAACTTGAAGTATAACATACGTACGTAAAATAGTTTATGTAAAAATAAATGTGGAGTCTTAGCCATGCAAATTTAAATTCATCTATGAAAGCAGCGTCCTAGAATAATTTAAGCATTGGGAATCCCCTATTTGAAATGTCTTACTTGTTATTTATAAATCAGCATTTTTAGCACTTCTAAACCTCTAGTTAGTGAAGAATAAAGCAAACCTCACACAAATAGGAAAAGCAACACTAACCACAAGCATGAAAATGGCATCTCTGTTAGATGTTAAACACGTAAAAGTAATAAGATTTCATGGCACACCAGAAATTGGGGTAGACATCACAAAGCTTTGGTGGGCCTGCTGGGGAACAATTAATTAAAACCAGCAATCTCCCTCAAAAAAAGTCAAGAGAATTAGACAGGAAGGAGGAAATGCCTTGTTTCTAATATCCTCTATGTCGGTGGCCCACACCGATCTCCTTAATATAAATGAAAGAGAAATTGTGAGGACTTCCTTGCAGTCAGACTAGTCTGAATTCTGAATGGTGCAGCTAATGAAACAGATGCACATCATGGGATGGAGAGAGTAAGAGAGAGTGACTCTGAAAATGGTTAGTGGCAATGGGGCAAAAGTGTGAAACAGGAAGAGTGAGGAATTAAACTTTCAGGAATTGTTAATACAAACGAGATAATAAAATGAAATGACATAAAATAACAAAAAATTGGGCAAATTGTGTCTTTTAGATGATGGTTGTCAAAATAGAAATATTTAATTGGTTTTCCTCCACATTTTCTCTAGGTCACAAGACCTCTGTTCTATATATAATATTTACTAATCCAGTCGCTATAAATAATGGTTACACTGCAAAATGGAACTAATATTAGCAAAAAATAGAAAGTGGCACCAAAAGGATTATTGCTGAGAACACTGATAGTGTTTTATTTCATTGCTTTTATTTAAATTTTTTTTTTTAGTTTTCATTTATATATAACTGCATATAGAGTCAAGTACACAGTTTATATATATATATATATATATATATATATATATATATATATATACAATTATGGACCCACTCCAAATAGTACATGTCCTGTGAAAGTAATAACAAAATAAAATACATACGTAAAATACGTGGTAACCCCTAATTCCCTACTACTTTATATTGTACATGTATTGAACATCTTACTAGTCCAGTTTGTCCAAATATGATGCAGTGTGAGCTGAGCCTTCTAAAGGCAATAGGGCTGATTTACTATTAACAACAGGGCGTTCACTTTGCAAGGGAATTTGTGCACTACAAAGAGAATTTTCCCTTAGCTTACAGAATGTGGTGAAAACTCACTTTGCAAAGAATAGCCAATCACAAGCAAAAAAAAAAAATATTTGTGCTTGCGCATGATTGGATGGTGGAAGTCAGCAGAGCTTCACCTGATTCACTAAGTTAAGGGAAAATTCCCATGCCAAGTGAACAGCCTATGTGCCTTTAGTAAATCAGCCCCAAAGATTCTTTGCATTTATGATAAGCCTAATTTTTATCTCCACATAGACTTCCAGAGATAGAAATTTGGTCTTCACTTGGGGTTTACTGCATTATTTTGCTGACTCACAAAGGGAGGCATTACATTCTGCTGAACCCTACAATTATGGGCGTCGTGCTTCCTTCAAAAACTGAACTCACGGCCTTATCACTTTTTATTTTCCTGTGCATCCTGTTTAAGCCAATAAAATCCTAATCAGCAATAAAAGCTGCCAGCTGAAATAAAAGCATTGGAAAGAATTCAGTTGAAAAGAAAAAAGCAGTGACACTAGTTGGGAAAAAAAAGGCAATCAGTCCATCAACAAGGTAAAGTGTCAGCCCCACCTTTGTCTGACATCAGAGGCTAAAGGATACAGCTGGGGATAGTGCCAAGGTCAGAATACCCTTTAGGGCCACCGACCTACTCCACACCCACATTGAACAAATCTGTAATAACTTGTCAGCAACAGTGAACTATGAGATAGAATGACAAATTGTAATAGGAAAAGGGGAGGGATATAATGTTGCATCATACACCATTCCTCTCTTATTCTTTTGTGGATTGATGTATATCTGTGTTAAATAATCATTGTATTGCCATAGTTTATTAGTACTGAAGAACTGAAAGTAAGCCACTGAATGACCATGTTTATTTTATATTTGCCGGAATAAATTTCTTAAATTTAAATGGATATATCGGAAATAAAGAGGAAAACTTGCATTGCATTCATTGGGAGACATTTATAAAAATTATACAAGCTTGCAAATAGACTGGTGCCATTTTTTATTTTTCAACTGAATAATATCAGCCCTTATTCTCATGAGAAATCAGAACTAGTTCAAACTTGAGAAATGAGCTTTTATTTAAAGTAGTTCTAAAGGCTAAAAGTTTTTTAAAAATAACTTTTACATGCAGTTCACCCCCAGCCCACCCTTATACTGAGCTAGATCTCGACCAAGCACTGTGCACGAGAGCAGAGGCTTTCTCCCTCATCATTAGCTCAGAGATAGCAATGGGAGCCATTGGCTCCCGCTGTTGTCAATCAAAGCCAGTGAGGAGGCAGCAGGGGTGGGGCCAAGCCACGCTCTGTGTGTCAATGAACACACAAAGCAGGGCTCGAGACCAAGCATGCATGAGTGCCTCCATGGCAAGCAGCTTGCTGTGGGGGCATTGAGTGGGAGGAAGTGCTATGAGCTCCAGCATGGGACTTGAGAAGAGGTGGATCCAGGCTTTTGCACAGAGCGTGTAAGTATAGCATGTTTGTTAATTTTGAAAAATAAAATTTCTTCCGTTATAATCACTTTAACAGTTGACAAATAACATTTATCTTGATGGTTAGGTGGTTAGATTAACCACTTCAGTCCTGGAATCATTTTTTATTTTTTTTGCATGTTAAAATGCACATTTTAGGTCTGAAAAGTTGTTTAAAACCCTCAAACAGTAGAGCAGAGACCCTGGAGAATAAAATGGTGGTAGTTTAAAATTTTTTATGTCATGTGACACTGGTACAGTGGTTTATGAAACTCATATTTTTAGCAAACAATACACTAATTTTAGTGCACTCAAACACAGTATATTACCAAATTGTTTGGTAAGATATAAAAAATTAGGTTGTGCCAGGTAAATTTATACCAAATATGTGAAGTTCAAAATTGTGTGCGCCGCTGAAATGGTGACAATATTCAGTACCAAAAGATGTCCCTTGGCAATGCTTTAAAAGCCCCTATAGGTCATAAATTTACAGTGAACCAATAAAAATCGATTCAAACCTATTGCTCTCACTCTGACATTTGCAGCAATATATAACATGTATAGGGCAATTCCAGTTTTTGTACATAGGCACTCCAATGCATGAATATTTATGTGTAGGTTTGTGTATGATGAGGGAGTGGGACTTTAAACTGTTTTTTATTTGTCACTTTAACTGTTTAAAACTTTTTTTTACATAACTTTATTTATAGCATATTCTTTTTGGTTCTCTATCACATTATGTATTATGCATTATGTATTATTTATGGAGACATCAGGGGTCTAATAAACCCCTGATGTCTCCCCTGTTCTCCACTTCAACTTATGGAGCACAAATCACCCTGATTCATTCACTAGAGGTAGGATGAGTAAACAGATTTTCGCTGAGCTACCCCTGCCCTTCCCAGAAACATCCACCATGGGAGCCCTGGACTCGCAGATGGGATAGCAATGCCTGGGATACATGGTGGGGGAAGGAAGTCGTGTGTGTGTGTGTTTGTGTGTGTGGTTTCATGTTTCAGTGGTTGTGAAAGTGATGGGGCGGTTTAACAAGAGTACACACAAGTGTGATTTAAAGCCCACTAAAAATGGCACTGGAACTCAACTTTCTGGTTTTTATATTCACACTTAGTATGTCAGATCTATCAGCACATCGTCCAAAAGTAAAACTATATAAATAGAAATAAAAGCATGAAAGACTTTAAAGGTGCTTAAATACCCTCAGGATGAAAGCAGCTTAGACACATTTTATATAAAAATATGTTTTATTATATATAATAAAATAAAACATAAATACCCTCCCAAAAAATCAGGTAAGAGAATGAGCCCTTCAGTACAGTGAATTCCATATCACACTGTCCCTATATTAACAATATCAGACCATGACCAGTGTAACCAGTGTAACAAGCATAAGTCAGGGATGGTGATGTGATGGTCACTCCCAACCCTTTCCAAATTGGCTTCTTCAGGGGTTCAAAGGGAGGGAATACTGTGGATACAGAAGGGATCACAATACAGTATATTCCAATACTGTATATCATAAACATGCAGCGCTGTAAACTCATGAAACATAAATATCTTATATCATACTCAAATATATAAAGTGCAAACAAGTGCGTGAATAGTGCAATCAAATAAATCGCTGAGAGTCCATGACGACCACAAATATTATACAGCAGGCAGTGAAAACTGCTAACGTCCTTTATCCAAGTGTGCAAGTGCTAACGTGCGGTTATTGATGAAGAGAATCTACCGCCTCGGATGGATGTACACTCACTAGACTGCAAGTAAATCAGCGCATCTGTTTATATCATACATCTGGGGGTATAATGACAGCTCTGGATTTACTCCTGCAGCTCCCTCCATCCATCAGTTGGGCAGGTGCATACCCCTGAGGACATGCTGTCCCACGAAATGCATTGGGAGCCTACATTGCTGACGTC